CCTGACGCGGGATTATATTATTATGTATGGCAAGCTGTTGGGGCCATAAATCGGGCGTATATTTACGTGCAAATCCTAACGCACGGTGCGTATATTTACGTGCAAATCCTAACGCACGGTGCGTAAATTTACGTGGAAATCCTAACGCGCGGTGCGTATATTTACGTGCAAATCCTAACGCACGGTGCGTATATTTACGTGCAAATCCTAACGCGCGGTGCCGTAAATAACGTGCGAAGGCGCGGTGGCGCCACGCGTGGTGGCGTTTTCTACCCTAACCCCAACCCAAACCCTAACCCTAAACCCATCGCGCGTAACGCCACCGCGCATTCGCACGTTATTTACGTCACCGCTCGTTAGGATTTGCACGTAAATATACGCACCGTGCGTTAGGATTTGCACGTAAATATACGCCCGATTTATGGCCCCAGAGGCCAACCATAATTATGTTTTCTCTTGGCGCGTGCAGCCGTGTGTTAACAGAGCGCGCCAGCTTCCTTCATCTGCTCCAGCTTCAGTTCTGTCTTCGCAAAACATTACTTTCCTCTTCTGCACCCACTCTCCAAATATAAAACGATTTAAATGCCAGGTCTGACTCTTCCCTTTGCGGCGCTCCTGTGCGCGCGCGCACATGCAGACAGGATGTTCAGAAAGATCCTTGGAGATGCTCTTAAGTGATTAGAAGTTGTGCACCTGACCCGCGTCATTACCTGCACGGGGGGTTTTCAAGTCTATGCATGATGACAAATGCAAGATGTGAACGTGGAACACAGATTCATTTTCAATAGTTTTTGATTTTCTGTTTGTTTCCCCCCTCCTCAGATAAACAAATCAACCTTCACAAAGATTGAAGAAAACACAGAGAAGAAGAACACGCCAGAGAAAGGAAGAGCAACTGTTATCTTTTCCCTCAAGAATGAAGTGGGAGGACTGGTGAAGGCGCTCAAACTCTTCCAAGTAGGATCAGTTTATTGATAAATACAAATGTCTGCATTTTTTGTGTCACATTTTTGATTTTGTGTCTGCTTTTGAGCAGTCAAACAAAACCCAAAAGCAGCTAATTTAAAACACCTTTTGCAGGAAAACCATGTCAACCTTGTCCACATCGAGTCCAGAAAATCCAAAAGACGCAACTCCGAGTTTGAAATCTTTGTGGACTGTGACAGCGACCACGAACAACTGAAGGAGATCATCCAGCTGCTGCGGAAGCATGTGAACGTGGTGGAAATGGACCCTCCAGATAACTCCTGCCTACTCGAGGAAGGTGAGGCGGCATCTCCACATCTCCAAATGTTGTGTTTGAAACAGAATATTTACAGTTGCAATCGTTTTTTTATATTGTTTTCAGATATGTATGACGTACCTTGGTTTCCAAAGAAAATTTCCGACTTGGACAAATGTGCCAACCGTGTCCTGATGTACGGCTCTGAGCTGGACGCTGACCATCCAGTAAGTTATCAGAGATGTGTCTGTTTTTTGTTTTTACGTATTAAAAAGAACTAAACCTCAAAAATAAGAGTCTTTCCTGTATGATCTGTTTATCTTCTTCAGGGTTTCAAGGACAATGTTTACCGGAAAAGGCGAAAGTATTTTGCGGATCTTGCCATGGCATACAAACAGTAGGATTCTGCATTTCTAAAAATCACTTTTGAACACATGGAGATTTGCTTTTGTTTTTTCCCCTTGGTACCTAAATCCCTTCTGCCCTTTTTTTTTTCAGTGGAGATCCCATCCCTCGCATCGAGTTCACAGAGGAGGAAGTGAAGACCTGGGGTGTCGTGTACAGGGAGCTCAACAAGTTGTACCCCACCCATGCCTGTCGGGAGTACTTGAAGAACTTGCCGCTGCTGTCCAAATACTGTGAATGTCAGGAGGACAACATCCCGCAGCTTGAAGACGTCTCTCGCTTCCTCAAAGGTAGAGCCTTTAATCCCAGAATAAGACCATTTTTATTTTGTGTTAAATATTCTAATATTTGACAGAAACTTATTTTCAGAACGATCCGGATTCACCATCAGACCTGTGGCGGGTTACCTGTCTCCTCGTGACTTCCTTGCTGGTTTGGCCTTCCGTGTTTTCCACTGTACCCAGTATGTCCGGCACAGCTCCGACCCCTTATACACCCCGGAGCCGTGAGTAATGTTTACTGCTGTGCAGGGCGGGGGGAACAGGTTTCAGCTGGTGGGGTGCTGTGAGCATGTGTGAACACCCGTATGAAAGACATCATAAAACCAAATCAATGGAATAAAGTGTGCAGTGCATGTTGTCTTAATTGAAAATGATATATTTTATAAAATTGCAAATACGTCCAAATGCCCTCAAACATATAGTAACAGTGCAGATTTACAACGTTCGATCATGTTAAAATATCTTTGAAATGTAAACGCATGCAGCATTAATGAAGCTTGTATTTAGGCATGCACCTGTTCTTGCTGCAGCACCCTCAGCGCCCCTGCTTCCCACAGTCGTGCTGCTGTGTTTTATTGTATGTTATTAGTTAAAGCTAAATAATCTGTGACTTCTCATTAAAAGGGACACGTGCCATGAACTGCTGGGTCATGTCCCGCTGCTGGCAGAGCCTAGCTTTGCTCAGTTCTCGCAGGAGATCGGTCTCGCTTCCCTCGGCGCCTCAGACGACTCGGTCCAGAAACTGGCCACAGTTGAGTGCCGCGCGTTCAGACGTGTCAAATGTCACCGAGATAGCTAATGTTTAAAATCTCACAGAGGTTTGTGTTTTGTTCTCGACTGTGTTTCAGTGCTATTTCTTCACGGTGGAGTTTGGGTTATGCAAACAGGAAGGGCAGCTGCGGGCGTATGGAGCCGGCCTGCTGTCATCTATCAGTGAGCTTAAGGTGAAGACATGCAGGCAACTTGATACACAGGCTGTTTTTGACATAATGCACCTCCATTATTTCATACTGTTTTAACTGATTTAGTAAGACTGATGAAAAGGAGAGCATTTTATAAATTATTAGGAAGTATACAACATTTTAGTGTTTCTATAATGCTTTTTGTCTTGCAGCACGCTCTTTCTGGTAATGCAAGGATCATGCCTTTTGACCCAAAAGTCACTTGCAAGCAGGAATGCATCATCACAACATTTCAGGATGTCTACTTTGTGTCCGACAGCTTTGAGGAAGCCAAAGTCAAAATGAGGTTTGTTTCTTTTGGTTCTGTTATTAAAAACTTTATCCTAGTAAAAGTAGAGAAATTACTGTGAACACTGAGGACTTACTGACATTGCTGAACTTTGCTGAAGAACTTGAAAGTATTAAGCTAAATGAAGCAAATTACTTGCAAAAAACTGCAAAACACTAGCTAAAAGTGTCAAAAGGCTAGCTAAAAGCAAAATGTAATAAAATGCTATTTCTAAAAGCAGCAAAACGTTATCTAAAGTTAAACATAAAGAGCTAACTTAAAGTTGTAAAAGTTAAAGTGTTGAGTGGCTCAAATTAGTAAAAGCCTGGTTACAAGCTGCAATTAGTAAAAGGTTATCAATCTGAAAGCAGCCGAACTTTAGTTAAAATTTAAACAAAGCATAAAAAGACAAAAATAGAGCAAGTGTGCTAAAGCTGATTTCAAAGAGAACATTGGAATACTATTTTGAAAGGTAAAAGTTACCAAAACAAAAATTCATAACACCATCTCCTGAATCAGCTGAATGTTTTGATATTTGGACAGCTAAAATAGCACCAAGTTTACAAAAGTAGTTAGATAGCAAAAGGACAAAAAAAATCATACAGAAAAGTATTGCATACAGCATTGTGTGAATCAAGATTTACTGAATACCAGGAATAATATTTTGCACATAAGAATCATCTCTATTATGTGTTTATTCATTTTTATTTTTAGGGAATTTGCCAAGACCATCAAGCGTCCCTTCACAGTTCGGTATAACCCGTACACCCAGAGCGTGGACGTGCTAAAAGACACTCCCAGCATCAACAGTGTGGTGGAGGAGCTGCGGCACGAGCTCGACATAGTGGGCGATGCTCTCAGTCGGCTCAACAAGCAGCTGGGGATCTGATTGTCCCACAGTTCTGCTGAAGTTACACTCACCATGTCACCCGCAGCTTTGCAGTAGAGATTGTGCATTGTTGGTTTTTGTGTGTTTTTTTGTCAGTATAATGAATGTACACCACTTTGTGGCTAAATGCTCTGTCCTCCTCTCTGTTTGGCTTACTCACATGATGTATTTAGGTTTTAATGTCAGTTTCACAAACCCAAAGATTTGTTTAATCTAAGGCACTTTTTTTTGCTTCCGATGTGTTTGGATTGTACTGGATTCTGTATCAATGTGGTTTCATGGTACTTCAGTACACTTTAATAACACCACCACCTGTTACCAACACTAAATGACAACACTTCCTGCTTTGTGTATGATCTTGTGATTTGTTCTTCCCTTCTTCCCTTCAGTGATAAATGTATGGTGTTTGTACTCTTTTGTTTGTATCCTGGTATTCTTTGTGTGCTGCTGAAGGAAATTATGAAAGACAAAACTTTAACTCACCAGTGTTAAAATGATGCTTTCAGAATTGATTATGGCAGATTTGACCAATGTACGCAGTTTATTTTACAGTGATGTTTTGAACTCTTCTTTGAGTGAATATATCTGTAGTGGTCAGTATATTAAAACCTTATTTTTCTACTGTTAAAAAAATATATAGAAAATGTAACTATGCTATCTGTCACACTAAAATAATAAAAAAAAACTGAGTTGTATCTGTGTTGTTCATTTTAAGATCTTATTTACTGAACTAGGAAACAGAGCATTCAGTTTCGCAGCCCCCTCAGCCTGGAAAAACTTACAGACAGATCTGAAACTGTCAACACTCATCCCTCCTAGATCCTTCATGTCAACCATAATAGATAACATCATCTAGAAACTTGACCGTTGCAGATGTTTCTGAACATTACCTATCCATTATACATGTCACTGTCGTTTTTTTTAACTGTATCTACTCAAACGATGTCTGTATGTTTTTATTCATTGACTTATTTTTCTCACCTAAATTTCTTTTCAGGTCTACCAAATATTGTAAATACGGTACCTATAGAATTCTGTCTTATCCAGATGTTTCTGAACTGTCAACATCTATTTATTGTGATGGTAGTTTTCTTTTTTCTTCCTTATTTCGTTTTGATCAAAGCAAATGCTTTGTCAATTACTATGTGACGTGTGCTGATGACCACTTGACCAGGTCACCCTTGTAAAAGAGATCTCGATCTCAATGGGCTCTATCTGGTTAAATAAAGGTGATTGATTGATTGATTTAATCTAAACCCAAACAAGACCACTGGCTTAGACCAGATATCTCCCAGGTTTGTAAAGGATGGTGCCAAGTATGTCGCACCCCATTGAAGCATATCTTCAACCTTTCAGTTACATCTTTCAAGTTTCCTGACGATTTGAAACTGGCAAGGTTAAGGCCACTGTATAAGAAATTAGAAGTGAGACAGACAGACAAATTATATATATA